AATTTCATCATTCAATTTTTCACTCTATGAAATTTATTGGTTTTTTATTTATTGCCTTGCTGCCAACCAGTTATTCTAATTATTGACAACGTGGTTGGGAATCTGGTTTTAGGACCTGATCATCTGAAGGTTTCTAAGAACCATCAGAAGATTACTAATAATCTGGTCTCTGTTGGATGAAGGACAAGAAAGAATCTGGTCTACCAGAGTTTTATTTTTCTATTCATGTATGTCAGTCAACTATGAAGTATTTAATACATAATGGGAAGAAAACAGCTTTCTGATATAAAGAACAGGAGACTTTACCCTTTTCTGTTTCCACCTGACACATGATAGAATTGTAGGTTTGAAGTTATAGGCTTTATTTTTCTGTGCATACATAAGTGAATGGAGTTCTGATTTAATTGGAATATACTGAGACCTGCCTGTTGTGGCCATTTACTTCTGCTTGTCTCTTGTGCATAACACTCCATTGTCTTTCCTCAACAGGTCACATGTGCTAAAGTTAACAGCCAGTGGTCTCAGAACCCATCTTATATCCTGAGTACTGGGCCCAATGCACTGTGGGTAAGCATGTCTGAGCACATGACTTAGTGAAGGGGACAGACACATCTTCTTACTAAAGGCTGCTCTGTACCATAAGTTGGGTGAAATAGCAGGGTTACCAGTACACAAGGACTTAAATTTGGGAAAACTCCCATATGGAGGGACTCATAGGCCTCATTTTAATCCAAGGAAAACCTGCTTATTGAGTAGAGGGACCAGAAATGTCCAAATCACATGGCCATAGAGTTGTACATTGGAATCTAAAACCCAGGTTTTCTGGTTCTGTTATAGAAAATGACTGGGCAGTTTCATGTGTGACACATTGTGTCAACTTGAGAAGTTGAAAAGGTTAACCAAGTGACTCAGCAGGGAGCCAAGGCCCTTACTTTGTGGACAACCTCCTCCTGTGCAAGCAGAGGGCATGGAGATTGTGTGAGTACTAAACCTGCCCTTGGAGTGGTAGCCTGTGGGAGGAGAAGAGGCTGCCTCCCCACACCAGTGCACCTGCTGCTTTTGCTGTCTTCTGCTACCTTGGACGGCTGTCCTGTGCCATGCCACCCTGCCTTGCAGCCAGCTGATTATGGACTGAAACCTGCTGAAACTGTGAGCTAAATAAACCTTTCCTTCCTTCATTTTGGGTGTTGGCTATTTTGGCTCAGCAATGAGAAAAAAGTAACCAAGACAGAATTTGGTACCAGAGATGTGGGGTTGGTGTTGTGACTATACCTGACTATGTGGTTCAAGAGCCCTTAGAAATGACTTTTGGGAAGAGTTTGGAAAGGTTTGGAGATTTTTCTTGATAGAGTAGAGCTCGAATGCCTTAGTCTGTTTTGTATGGGAGATTCTGGTCAGAGCTTGGAAGACCAGAAGGCTGACCTAAACCCTGCTGGTAAAGACTGGTTTTGGGAGATTTCTGCTGGAAAGAAGGACTGAATTGGGTGCTGGACTCCAGATGGTGTGTGTTATAGCTTGGCAGAAAGTTTGTCTGCATTTTACTAATGTCCAGAGACTTTGCGTGAGTCTCAGATTAGAAGCAGTAGACTAATTAAACTGGCAGAAGAAATGTTCAAGGCAGTTGAATGTTGAGGCTGTGGCATGGCTGTTGTTGGGAGCTTTTCGCCAGATTTATGTTGAGAATCAAGAGCAAAGAGCCCACCAGGAAGACTTAAAATGTGACTTTGACCAGAAAGGATCCTCCAGTAAAGCTGTAGACTGTAAAGACAGAATGGAGGAGATCTTGATTGCTGCAGAGGAAAAAGAGAATGGAACAGATGTCCTGAGCATATCAAAAGAAGCAGCAAGTCTTCACCCTTTGCAGCCTTAAGACTGCAAAGGTGAAAGACTTTGCTTTGAGAAGAAAGCAGCAGACCAGCAAGGTCCAGAATAGTGGCAGCTGCTGCACCAGGTTTCAGAATGGTGACAGCATAGAAAAGTTTTCCTCAGAATCAGATTCAGAGTGCTCAGCAATCCAGGCTCTCAACCCCTACAGCTGAGAGAGAGGGAAGCCTGACTATTGCTCCAGGTGGCAGCAGACCATGGCATTATACACAAGACACTGGTTTTAGGCACATGGAGAATGCAAGAGTTCTGAGGTGAAGAGCCTTCTACCCCAATTTCAGAAGTCTTGGGAGGCTAGATAGTGTGCCATTGAGAGGGCAGTATGTAAAACTATGAGTGAGAAGCCTAAACTGCAGTGGAGACCCCAGAAATTTGAAAAAGCCAGGAATGTGGATGATCTAAGGAAAGCTGCAAGGAGGGAGCAAGTGGGCCTAAGGGAAAAGCCATGGAGCTGTTCCCAGGAGAAGTGCCATAGGCATGGAGTCATGCAAGCCCTGTGGAGCTCAAAATGTGGCACAGATTGCTTCAGGTGTTGGACATGAAACTGCAGAAGTTAATCATTATTGTCATGGATTTTGGACTTGCTTTGGTCCCAATCCTTCGTATTCCCTGTTTGCAACTTTTGGAATGAAAATGTTTATCTTGTGCCATTAAATGGTGGAGAAGTGTTTATGCTTTCATTTGTACAGGGGCTTGCAGCTAACAGTTTGCCTTAGATCTCCAAGGAGACTTGGGACTTGGACGTTTCAGCAATGCTGAAAATGTTAGTATTTTGGCAACTTTTATAAATGGACTAAATGCCTTTTGCCTAAAGGGATGTGCATGAGCCTTTGGGGGGCCAAGGTCAGAATATTATGGTCCTAATGTAATATAATGTTGATTGTACTGGCTCTTAAGGATTGTTAAACCTGTGTTATAATGTTCAAGTTGCTTGTATTTGAAAACCAGTTGAAAGAAATGTGTCTGATTTCCAAATTGAAAAGAAGTAGATTGCAATGGTTCATACACTGTGTCAATGTGAGAAGTTTACAAGTTTAACTAAGTGACTCAGCAGTCAGCCAGCTCCCTTACTTTGTAGATAGCCTCATCCTGTGCAAGAGCAGAGCATGGAGATGGTGTGAGTGCTATACCCGCCATACATACAATATAAGAGATGAAAACAGACCCCAAGTCCCCCCTGCATGCACTTGCTGCTGTTGCTGTCTTCTGCTAACTTGGACTGCTGTCCTGTGCCATGCCACCCTGCCTTGCAGCCAGCTGATTATAGACTGAAACCTAAACAAACTGTGAGGTAAATAAACCTTTCCTTCCTTAATTTTGGGTGTTGGGTATTTTGTCTCAGCAGCAAGAGAAAAGTAACCAAGACAGACAGCCTCTGTGTAACTGTGTGAATGGACAACAAACAACAGAGGATGGCCCTGGAAGACACAACGAATAGTGGATGCATCCTATGGAGATCCTCAGGAGCAAGGGGAAGATTGCTGCAGCACTTGATATGAATCCTATTTATTTAAAATGGCACAGGAGCATTTTTGTAAAAATGTTATAAAGATTGAGTTTATCATTTGGGACAGAATTATCTATCTTCTAGTTAAAACTCTGTCTCAGTAACTTTCGTCTCATTGCTGAGACAAAATACACAACACGGAAAGTTAAAAAAGCAAGGTTTATTTAACTCAAAGTTTGCAGAGGCTGCAGTCCGTAATCACCTGGCTCCAAGGCAGGTTGGCTTGGCAGAGCGGAATAACACAGGGGAAACAGTTCATGGCAGTTTAGGACAGCAAAAGCAAGGAAGGGAGAACACAAGCCTCTCTCTGATCCTTATATTGTATCCAGGCTGCTGGGATTGGGACAATGCCAAACCAATCAGTACACTGACTTAGTAAACACACACCCTTAATCCCAGCATCACACACTCTAGATTCAGCCACCTCCATAAAAGTCCACCTATGACCACATGAGGCTTTGAGGGGACATCTACCAACAAACCACAGCAACCTATCAAAGGACGTATCCTGGCACTGATATTTCATCACTATTCTAAATACTGTATCTGGTCAATAAATGGTGGTATCCAATGTAAGACTGATGATTGTGTTTTAAAGAAAATAAAGTAGTCAGGCTGGTGGTGCATGGTTGTAATCCCAGCACTCAGGAGGGTGAGGATCATGGGGAGTGCAAGGCCAGCCTGGGCTAGAAAGTGAGCTGAAGGCCAGCCTCAACTGCATAGTGAGACCCTGTCTCAAAACAACAATAAATAAATAAATAAATAAAATTATAAGTACATATTTTCATTAAAAATTAATACCCACTAACTAGTGTTTTGTTTAGTACTACATTACGTGTGGTTGGTAAGATGATTCTTCCTACAGAAAAATTCTTTCTTTTTTTTTGATACTGGAAGTTGAACTCAGGACTTTGCCCTTGTCAGGCAGGCATTGTGCCATGGAGCTATATCCCCATTTCACACATTATTTAAATTTAGCACTGTCCATAACAGTGGATAGAAAAGTGCATTCACAATGCTAGCAAATGCTCTCGACATCAATTAATCTTTTTGAATGAGGCAGTGCAAAGAAAATAATGAAAAAATTAAACCAGAGCACAACTCCTTATTTGTACTTTTCCTCGTCATTTCCCCATCCCACCTCAGTCTTCATGGAAATGCTCTGTCCGACTCAGCTCTTGCCAACATTTCCCCACCCTTGGGCCCCACCACACATCCATTCCCATCTGCTGTTCACTTCAGACCTTCCCGAACATGCAAAAAGCCTTCCCCACCTCAGTGATGGTCTTCAGCTCCTCTCTGGTTGCTGAGAATGCAACATGCCTAGGGGACCCCTACACATATGCCTGGCCTCCCAGGGCCTTCTTCACTCCTAGCCACTAAGCATGTTTGCTCTGCTTTCTACCACAACCACCTCCTCCCTTGAGACCAGGGCACTCACCACCCCCACTGAAACTCCCCCCTGGAATCAGCAATCCAAAGGCCTCAGGCTGACCGCAGCCTCCCTCCCACCCCTGCCCTCAGCCCACACAGCAACCCTCTGGAGGGCAGGCCTCCCCCATGTCCCTCAGATGCCTCCTACACAAAAGGACAGAAACAAAGCCAAAAATACTGCCATGACTGAAAGCCTTTATTAGCGTTTGTTGCTGACAACAGTGGGGCCTCCCCTTCCATGAGACATCATGGCCCTGACAGAGCCTCAGAGGCTTCCCACTAGGCGCTGCTCAGCACTTCTCAGGCATTGTTTCTCGGCTCAGGTGCCTCATCCGAGAATAGGAAGGACACATCCAGGATGACAGGGGCACATTCACGGTTGTTGTCGGCTTCTGTCCCTCCGTCTTCGGCGTCGGTGGGCATCCCAACATTGTTGTTGCCCTCGGAGTGTACCAGTGTCAAGACGTAATCAGTAAGTGAGTCGACCATGGCTTGGAGAAAGTCGTATGTGGTGGATGACAAGGCCGGGTTGTATTCTTCAGGCAGAATGCAATATATGTGAGCCACAGGGAACTGCTCCTCAGGACCTGAAGCAGGGTCTTCCTGCTCAGTGCTGTCTTCATAGGGACCGTCTTGGTTCGTTTCTTCACACATGATGGCTGCTAGTTTTCGCTCAGGTCTGCCCTGGCACTTCACAAGCTGTACTAGGTCTCTGAAGCCCTCAGCCCTCAGCCGTGCCCATTGTATCCCCATCTCCTCTCTCATTGGTCAGCAGCTGCCTTTGTGACAGAGTAGACTTTGTGATGCCGTGGATGTCCACTGGGCTCTGCTCAAGCGTCAGCGTGGGGATGTTCATGATATATACCTGGTTGCCCTAATAGTTGAAAACATTTTTGATGCAACTCGAACATTCTATTGGACCTGAACAGTCTAGCAAAATGTGTGTTTCAACGAAAATGCTGTGACTTCTGGAGCACACAATAGGAGTTCTCTGACCCTAGTCTCACACTGTTTTTGAGATCTTTCAGATTCATTTGTAAACCATTGTTCACTGATAGCCACACTGCAGCCTTTGACCATTAGAGATTAATTTCTCTTTGTGATAGAGGTGAACAAATAACAATTTTGCTTCCATTTATCAACTTCCTTAAAAGTATATGATAAATATTTCTAGCTGTCTTGTTTAGGCTGTCTTTCACACTGTTTATATTTGTCATTTTTCTCATGGGTGGAACACAATCTTTCCAAATATTTCAACTTAAAATAATGTTGAATAATATGCGGGACTGTTGGGAAACCCCGAACAACTGTTTTGGAGGCCACATTTATATTCCCAGTTGATTCACCTATAAAGCTTCACAACACGGATGTGTCACCCATGCTCATTTAAAGTAGAAGACTTTTATTCTCTCTTCTTGATACATACAAAGCAAAGTAGGACTTTAATAATGTTGTTTTTATAGGTCTTATTCCTATGCCTACTTTTATAATTTAATTATCTATTCTACTAGTTTCATATTTCTTTGGTTTTTAATCCCTTGTTCTCAACCAGTTATTCTCATTATTTACAAAATAGGTGGGGATCTGGTTTTAAAATCTCTTATGATTTGTGTCTAGATGTCCCCCAAAAGCCTCATGCTGTCATGGGGTGGGCTCCTAGTTTTGGATTGACCCATGGTCCAATGGGATTATGGGTGTGAGTGCTGCACCCACCCTGCCTTGGGTGTAGCAGAGTGGGTAGCCTGCATACAATACAAGGGAAGGAAACAGGCTTGTGTGCTGCTGCTCTTCCCTTTTGGCTCTTGTTGTTTTTGCTGTTTTCTACTACCATGAGCTGTGGCCCTCTTCCATGTGCCACTCTACCTAGGAGCAAGCTGATTATGACTGAAACCTGCACAAACTGTGAGCTGAATAAACGTTTCCTTCCTTATTTTTCGGCATTGTGTCATTTCTCTCAGGAAGCATAGAAAAGCAACTAGACAGGATCTCTCCATCTAGAGATTTCTTCAAATGATTAATAAAATGTTAATTATTATTAGTCTCCATTGGATGAAAAGAAATAATCTCATTTCTCAGGATTTTTTTTTTGGTATTTGTTATGGTTTGTGTCTAGTTGTCTCCCCAAAGCCTCATGCAGTCATGGGGTGGGCCTCTAGAGTTTATGATGGATCCATGGTCCAAACTTGGAATTATGGGTGTGAGTGCTACACCTGCCCTGAGGCAGAAAGCCTGCATATAGTATAAGCCAGAGAAAGAGTTTTGTTCTCTGTTGGTCTTCCCTTTTTGCTTTTGCTGCTTTTGCTGTTTTCTGTAGTCATAAACTGTTGACCTCTGCCGTGTGTCACCCTGGCTTGAAGCCAGCTGATTATGGACTGAAAATTCCACAAACTGTGAGCTAAATAAACCTTTCCTTCCTTCATTTTGGGCATCAGGTATATTGACTCAGCAATGAGAGAAAAGGAACCAAGACAGAATCTGGTACCAGAGAAGTGGAGTCTTTGCTGTGTAGGTGCTTGACCATGTGGTTCAAGAGCCTTTGCAAATGGTTTATAGGAAGAGATTGGAAAGGTTCAGAGATTTTGCCTGAAAGAGAAGTGCTGGAGTGCCTTCAGCTGTGCTGTATGGGAGATTCTAGTCAGAGCTCAGAAACCAGAAGGCTGATAGAAATCCTGCTCATAAAGACTGGGTTTGGGAGGTTTCTGCTGTGAAGAAGGACTGCATTGGTTGTTGGACTCCAGATGATGTATGTTAAGGCTTGGCAGAAAGTTTGTCTGCATTTTGCTCATGTCCAGAGATTTTTCCTCAGTCTGAGATTAAGGGCAATAGCTTAATTAAACTGGCAGTAGAAATTTCAAGGCAGTTGAATGTTGCAGCAGTTGCATGGCTGTTGTTGGGGGCTTTTAGCCAGATTTATGTTGAGAATCAAGAGCAAACAGCACAGAAAGATGACTTAAAATGCTGTGACTTTGGCCAGAAAGGAAGCTCCCAGAAAGCTGTAGACTATAAAGATAGAACAGAGATCTTGATTGCTGAGGAGGAACAAGCATATGGAAAAGATGGCCTCAGGGATATCAAAAGAAGCAGCAAATCTTCACCTTTTGTAACGTCAAAAGTGCAAAGTTGAAAATCTTTACCTTGAGAAGAAAGCAGCAGAGCAGCATGTTCCAGAATGGCCATGGCTGATGCTCCAGGTCCCAGAATGGCAGCAATCTAGAGAATTTCTTTCCCAAAAGTGGATTCAGAGTGCTCATCAGTCCAGGGACTGAACCCTTACATCTCAGAGAGAAAGACTTGTGGAGAAGGACATTCTTTAGTTTCTCTTTTGTTTATCGCCTCAGGCCTGATCAAACCATGATTGTTGGGTTCTGGAAGAAGTCTAACAAAAGTTTTGAAAGCCCCAGGGTCAAAACTAGATGCTTTGCTGAGATATCCCCTAAGGAATGATAACATGATGGCTAATTAGTCAAGTCATATTTGTCCTTCCTAGATTGGTTGAGATCCTCCCATTTGCACTGCTGATTCTTTTGTTCTTTCTCAGCAAAGAGTTACTGAAATTGGTAATTGGGGCTGCCATCTGTGATGCTGTAAGCCTCTTGGCCCCAGAATTTTGCCTCTCATGGCTATCTTTTTTTCTTACTTTCATATTTATCCTTGGGTACTTCGTTCTCAGGACCTGACACCATGAATAGAACGACATATTGGTGCCAGGAACTGGGACCTGAGGATGAAAGTAGAGTTGGAGTACGAAAGGAAGTCTTTGAGAAAAGGGTAAAGAAAATTAGAGTACAAAAATAAGTCTTGGAGGCTAGGGTAAACAAATCAAGTCAGAAATGAGAGCTTGAAATTGAAAGCAGTTTTCAAGAATAAGGAACAGGCACTTGAGTATAAAAGTAAGTCTTCAAGACTGTTATAGGCAGGTGAGTTAGACAGAAATATTATAGGCAGGCAGACAAGGCCAGGCCCTGGAAGGAGCCAACATGAAAGACAGTATTTGCTGTGGGCCAGACCTCAAGACAAAGGACTAAACAAATGCACCCACATACCACCCTAGGCATGGACGTGAGAGATTGATATTCTAAATAGGTAGCAATCACATTGAAGAGTTCCTGACCCAACCCCTTAGATGAAAACCCCCTGCTCTGTATTCATGCCCACTTGCTATGTGACTCCCTTCCCCATTTGATCCCAATTTAATCAATTTTACCTGAACAATTCTTATTGGCTGACCATAGTTTTGTCCATTTTCCCCTTCCTTGTACCCCCCTCACCTCGTGGCTTGGCTCTACAAAAGAAAAAACAGAGTCCAGGGTAATCCACTCGGGTCTCCCTTCTGTCCCTCTCTTGGACGGAGGCTTTCTTTTCTTTCCCTCAATAAATACATTGTGCTCTAAACCTCTGTTGTTCCTAAAATGTATTGTTCGATTTTAGAGAACACAAACTCATCGCAGATATCATTCAGGTTGGGAGTTTTTATTTTCCTGTATCAAGGTTATGATATTTCTTTAATGGAACATTTTATTCCTGTTTTCTTCCAGAACATGTTGGAATATGTTGCATTTGATGTGTTTGAACTAGTTCCTAAATGTACTGGTTTTCCTTGTTTGATGTTATTTAGCTAGGGAGAGTAATGTTGGAATGCTGTTAGTGAACTGTGATATAAACTGTGAGATGGGTCTTTTTAAGTCTAGCTCAGACAGAGTAAAGAACTCTAGACTGTTCCAACTAAGTTAAGCTCATCTTCTGTGAGTGTTTGTTAATGCCGAAGTCAGTGAAATCACCTTAGAGAAAGAACACATACCATATCTCTGGGTCAGAGGAGACATCGAAATTTTGCCTGTTCAGGAAGACACACATAAAAGCGATATCCCGGCTTAGTGTTCTGGGCAGGTCTCCCTCGCAAGGCTGAACTTGAGACACAGTGGAGAGAACCGACTTCTGGGTGACACCAGAAGGAGCTATCTCCGAAAGCAGCACACTTCTGGGACCAAAACATATTTGGTCTAAGGGAGGATCTCCAACCTTTCCTCTTCCCCTAGGTCTAGTGCTAGGTAATCTTGTTCAGGCTTTTAACTATCGCTTGTAGAATTTTGACAAACAGTGCTCACTCTGCCAGCTAGTGAAATGCTCTTAGAGCAGCTGCCACTCTTTAAAGCATAGGACATGTTTCCCCAGCATCTCTTTGGTGAATCCCCATTGAAGCCAATGGCTGATGGAATGTTGACCAGAGAGACAGCTGGCTTCCTTTCTGGAGACTGATCTCTGGCTTTGTGGGCAAATAGAAACTGAGAACAACTGAGGGGTCATGGCCAGGGCTACTCTCTCCAGATACCCAAAGCTTCCTCGGTGGAAACTGGCTCCTGACCACTGAGAAATCTCCACTTACATATTGTATTTATCTCTCTGTGCCAGTAGACTAGGAATTCTCCATAAGCTTTCCAGCTGAGCTACTTAACATCCCCAGACTTCAGAAACTAGGCTGAGGCAGCTTGCAACAATTTACTTTCCGGGCGGCTAGCAAGGGAACCATTCACATTTGTGCCTTATGTATGCTAATTAAGGGTGAAAAGAGATTTTTGTCAGCCTTAACTTGGCTTTAGCAATATTTAAATGTGATTGCTAGGTGGTAAATATAAGTTTAACCTGTGAGCTTCTAAGTTTAAATAAAATAGTCTTGTCCTGTTGCTAAGAAAAGTTGCCTAGGTGATTAGATAGTGAACACAAATATCTACAGACTTCTTTGCTCTAGTTCATGA